GTTTGCGTCAGAGTTTGATTGACAGGTTTCACACCGCTCCAAAGGATCTTAACTATCCTGGCAGACACACGTATGAAGTGAGGAAGATATACAGGCAGATCCCTATTTGAATTTAAAACAGACATCTTTTCCCTTGGCATCGCAGTCCCTTGTTTGTGCAAGTAAGAGTTTGTTTTGACTGGAAAGCGGCAACACTGCAATGCAGATGTGTTCTTGTTCTAAAGGAATCATCTTTGAGAAAGTGTTTTGTTCACCTTCTCCTGCGGCAGGCTGAGAAATGAAGGTTGACAGACTAACTGGAGGAGGAGTTTCATCTTGGTGGCAAGAGTTTCTGTGTTTACTCCTAATTAGGTCCTCAACGTGAAGAGAGTAAAAACAGGTGTTGTTCACTATACCTGATTTCTTTGTCATGCTTTATCGTGCCTACAGGAGCAGCAGCACACTCAAATTAAACTCTGTGCTGCAGCATTTAATGTCTTAGTAGGAATATATTACTTTGACAAATACTTTTTTAGACTTTTATGTGGTTTTAGGAATCACTTCTTCTGATTAATGTATCATTAGTGTAATAGGCTTTGCAGTTGGAGGCTTTAAGAGAAGCCAAAAACGGCATCAAACAGCATTAAAGTGCGATGACGCCACCAGTCACATTCAGACTTAAGTTGGAGAAATGGTCAAGGAGCAGCACAATGAAAGAAGCTGAATAATTCATGTTGCATTTATCATAATTATCTTTGATCTTTTCTACATTGATTTCTTTTCATCATAAATATCCCTTTGTGCTTTCAGCAAGATGACATTTAGCAATTAATTTAATGAGTTACGGTTTTCCTTTTTGTCATTACATTATAAGAGTTATGAGATGAAAACTATATGCAGCAGTATATGATATTTCAGTTTCCCAAATGGGCCAATAAGCTTCAAAATGTTGTATTTTGGTTATAAATTAGGTTCGGACAATGAAAAGAAACAATGCAATTTACTTTTGTTTTGGACAAATTAAAGATTTAAGATGGAAAAAAGCTATTACACTCCAACCCGTTATACAGCGAGCCTAAATCAGAGGCAAATCCAATTTCCTGTGCAGTTGTTCAATTCACCCTCTGTGCAGTTCAAATGAATTTATATTTATTCATATGAAAACCGCCTCTTAGAGGGATTTGACATTGTTTTTAATCTTCTGTCTTGATACCTTGCTTATGATGCGGGGATTGAATCAATTTATATCCGTTTAAGGTGAAGTTGTATTGTTTTTGTGCTTATTCTGCGCCCCGGGGCTTGCTTTTTTGTGGTTGAGTTAATGGAGATGCATATCTAAGTGAACAGTTGCCCCATTTGCACGGAAACAATGTATTAGCTGTTCCTGAAAAATATATCAAATTCAAAAGGCAAAAATCAACAAAACCCAGAAAGTGTGCCTGTAGGCTTGTTGTATATCTAAACAGGTTGTATTAGATGTTCACTGCATTGGAATGAATGGAAGTCTTATTCAAAGCCTTCCGAGTGATTTTATTGGGCCTGTATTGGAGAGTCAAAGCCTGATTGGGAAAACCTTTGTCAGCATTACTTGTCCTGCCTCACTGTACCTGCCGCCTGTCTTGCTGAGTGCCACTATCCCTGGTGATAAATAGACCCTCCGCTCCTAATCACTGCCATCGTATTGCCATTACTGAATGGGCCAGTCATTTCAGGGTTGGCAAGACAGCTCAGCTCGCCGCCCTGCCAGAGGCATCAGTGCTTTGTCTCCAGAAATGTCACCAGTGTGCTGACTTGAGAGATGGAGCCAGCACCTTGGTTGTACAACAGCGCTGCTTTTATTACTGGATTTATAGAGTTACATAAAACATGACAACGTGGACGCACGTAAAGTAATACTTTTCCTTTTTGGTGGAGAAGAATCTATTCTTATTCATAATTTCGCCAAGATTTATATGAGAAGATTAATATCACTTTCATGCTTGCACATTAAATATGAAGCTGGAGCGAGCTCCTTGTTAGCTTAGCTTAGCATAAGGCTACACACAAGGGGAAATAAATCCATCTACTGTCACCTCTAAAACCCACTATTTAACACTTAATTTCTCGTTTGTTTGGTTTAGTAAAAAACATATGTAAAAAGCGACGGTCTTTAAGTCATGCTAAGCTGTGCTAGCTCCTTGTTAGCTTAGCTTAGCATGAGGCTGGAAACAAGGGGTGCATGGCTCTGTGCAAAGAAAACAAATTCCCCTACCGTCACCTCTAAAACTCACATATAACACTTTGTTTCTCTTTTGTTTAATCCATTAAAAACGTGTACAAGTGATGGCCTTCATGCTTTGCCAAGCTAACAGACACATTAACATATTTCATCCCATATTCCTAGTGTACAATTTGTCAAAATGTATTTTTGCCAAGAGGGTGGGATGTGAAGAAATCTAGTAACATTGTGTTGACAACATCTCATGAATATTGAGCCATATAACAATACAATAAGTATAAACACATATATTATTTGGAGTTAAATGCTACCTTTGCATGGATGCCAGTGACTCCCCACAGGATACCTCACCTATTCCTCAGAGTTGAGCTAATTGCCCTCTCTGGCAACCAATTAAAAAATGGTTCTTATCATACACACTTGAGATAGCAATTTCCCTCGCAATAGGTCTCCAAGTCAAGGAGTACCAGACTGCTTCCACCTTCACCTAGCACAAGAGGCAATAATTATGGTGACATATTTAGACACATGCAGTCATAAGCCACCATAGTTACAACATGAGTTATTTCTGCCAATGTTTTGGAAAGTCAGAGGTGAATTTAAGTGCGCTCAATAGATTATTCTCAGTATAGATATATATCTGTATCTACACCATTGGGAAAAACATGAGGGCATTTTATAGTATAATTAAAATCTGCTACCCGTTACCATCCCCCACTGTAATGTGTTTTTTTTTGTGAGTTGGATATTCGACACGAACAGTTTCAGAGGCGTTAGAATAAGTTCCTCTTGAGCCAGTGTACTAACTCTCCTTCAATCGATACTGCCCTGCAGTTGTAAGAGACTCCTCAGACAAAAAAAAAGGTTTTGAGGAAACTAAACACTGGGAAACATGATTACAGGGCTTTGACTCTCTGACCTGACTTTTGGAGACTGGCCTGGCTCGAGTGGTGTCTTTCGAGAGGGAATCTCCATTTCAACGGGTGTATTAAGAGAAGATTGGGAGCTATGGAGAGAGCAACTTATTCCTGCAGTCGCTTCACAGCCACACGACATCTCACAGACTCCTCTCCTCTCTAAATCCTCCAATTGAAGTAAAACCTTGGTTCATATTAAACAAAAGCGAATCAAACTGGAGCGATTGTGAGTGAGGAATAACTTTGACTAAATGGATCTATATTTCTGGCCATCCCTCTGAAATATACTGGAATTTGTGATAGCATCGATAGTGCTAACGCATTCACTTTGAATTCTAATGCTGAACTTGCACTACTTTGTTTGGCATCTTTTTATTCAATTACATTTAGCTTTTATCCAAAGCATTTACAATAAGTGCAATAAACCACAAACTCATATTAACTTTTGATAGTGCTGATGCATCATTTTCAAATGAGCTGAACCCTTTAAGTACAACACTTTTTTGATTAGGTTTGGTTGGTCTTGATTGGCTGGCCAGGTTATAAGGGAAACAGGTGGGTTTTCAGTCTGTCAATGGGGAGTTTGTTTCATAATGTTGGAGTCATCGTTATTGTATTATACTGTCACAGACTTATGAAGAAACAACACGTTCCTAATGAAGGATAATGAAGTTAACCAGTCTGTTTTGTAGTAAGTTGTGTCACATCATCTAGTTGCAGAATTGCCTTTGTAAAATAATACCAATATATATTTCAAACACTTTCTTTAATAGTGTCTGTAGGGTTTTCTGATGACACATTTGTTTATGTTGATAAAATGGTAGTGCACTTTGGGTCAATCACACATACACAGTTTCTGGAAGTCATAAGGTGTTGAGAGATGCACGAAATGTATCCTTTACATACAATGAGTGAATGACAATGGCTGTAGCTAATAAGATGATAAGAACATTCCTATCTTTATAAAATATTATTGTGGTTGTTTCCTCCCTGCAATGTCGTTTGCTGCCTCTCAGTAAAGTACACAGTATGTATTTGGTATTGTGTGGCATTACTACGAATAATGGACGCATTTTTACAATACACATGCTAGTACAAAAGCTGTGACAGGATGAGCTCCCAGTAAAACAGCACGATAATAATTGGATTCAGACAACACGCCCAAATGCCCAAAACGTATTCAGCTGTTTACAGCCTTTAAAGCTCAAGGGCCAGTTACTGTACACACCTCTGAGTCACCAGCCACCTCTCAAATGATGTTCCTAAATATAAGTCTGGTGTTGCTGTGTAAATGTTTTTTCTTCCAATCAGCACTTTAAAGGTTGGTAATCTTTTCCAGACTTTTTCCAAGCAGCCATTAAGCCTCCTGTAAACTCACTGCCTGAAATATAACAGCTTATTAATCAGAACAACACCATGCACACGCATTTATTCTAAGAGTGATGTTTTTTTCCCAGTTTTCTTCACAAGTGTAATCAAAAGTGTAATCCATCACTTGCCCCCTCTGATTCTTGTGGATATAAGTCTGAAAGATTTGATGTGTATTGTTCCTGTAAATGTCACAGGATCTATTTCTGTGGTACAACTACAAAACATGTTTCTGGAAAAAATGTTTTACCGTACACATGACTTATAGAAACTTCACAGCTCACATTGAGTAGTATTTATTTACTTAACTGGGCTGCCCAACGGGTCTCAAAGGGCAATTCATCTGCCGAGTATCCCAGCTATTAAATACATTTTCTCCCAGAAAAAGAGTAATCACAGCTGTTGAATTACAGTGTATCATTATTTTCTGTTAACCCCACTGTGCTTCTTTACCACCCTCTGAGTCCTTGGTATGATACGACTTTTGACAATATGATCTCTCTCTCTTGGTTCTGCAGAACGGCGAGGCATCACTCTTTGAGGTGAACATCCGTTACGTTGGCGGCTTGCTGTCGGCCTACTACCTGACAGGAGAGGAGGTAAGATTAATAGACGTCTGTTCTCCCTCTTCTCTGCTGAGATCTGCTGCTCCATTCATCCCCACCCAGCCTTGTAGTTTGAAAGATGAACAGGCTGAGTTACTTCCTGTGCGTGCAGAGTAGCGTCACCTCAGTGCATAAAATGATCTCTTACAAAAGTTCACGTTGCAGGTTTATCCAACCGTAACAATATCTTTTGCCTATCAAATTACATACAGTTCATTGTTTGGCACTTTAATTATTTTCACTGGAAAATTTGTGTTTTAATGTGCTCATGCGTTCAGAGGTTGTTTTGTTTGCTGCAGGAAATGATAAACAAGGCCCTGTTTTGACAAGCCTATAGGTTGTTGAGTATGTAAGATATCATATGAATGAATTCTGATTATCATCTTATGCAGTGCCACACACTTGAATAACATTTCACATTTTAACAGATTTGTTTTGGCCAGTTTTCAGTTGCCATAACATTTCTAGTTTTATGCAAATGTTAAAAGGGAGAATACACTCTGCTGCTTAAATCTATTCACTGTTTGATTCTGGGTTTGTTTTAAGCCACGATGTGCTCCTAACTGCAACAACAAAGCTCAATAAAATACTCAAATATGCAGATGATTGAAACAAATATATCGTGTTTTGTTTTTCAGTGTGGCCGAAAAATTGAAATGTGTAGCAAAAAACTAACCAGATCAAATTGTTACAAAAACCTGAAACCACGTTGTTATAGATTTGGGCGTTTCAGCCTTATTTGGTTTTATTTGCAGCATCTCATAATAGTTCAAATATATATTTTTTTATGTTAACTCAAAATACTTAAAATAATGAGGCTTAAGTATGAACAGCTTCAAATCTGCTAGGACTCAGGCTACAATAGAAAACGGAAGGTAATTTGCTGAAGTGAGTGAATGAGAATCACTTTTCTCTGTTTGAAGAACTATCGCCGTTGTGTCCTTCAATAAAGCAGCAGTCGGTCCGGTGAAGCATGATGTGCCACTTTGTGTCAAGGCCTGTGGTAACAACGGACAGCTAACAGTGAAGCTGAGAAACTTTATGAGTGTGAAGCGTGGCCTTGCCAGAAGAGAAGTATGAATACAACCTGGCTGCATAAATACAGGTTTAGAAATGGCCTGTGACAACCACATAGTACAAATGGTCCAGTTCATTATCAGTGCATTGTGAAGTCACTGGAGGTCAACATATCATCGTACTGTAATGAGCCTCCGCCAACATACACTGCAGTGGTGATGTTGGAAAAGTACTCTATGGAAGAGACTTCAATCTGTGCAGAAGCAGAATTAATGGAGAGAGGATCCAGTGACATGTGAACACTCAAGTCGGTTTAATGGACATTGATTTGCAGGCCGAGCGAGTTGAGGGAAGAGCAGCATTAAATTGTCCTCCGCTGCTAGATGAGTGAAATATGAACACATTGCTGGAGCAGAATATAGCATTGAGTCCATTATTCCACATTTGTGTGCCATTAATGCCATGCAGGAACTGTTCTTCTATTTTATTCACTGGTCCGTGGATATTTCTATATTCTATACATATTGCAAGGGTAATGACATTTTTTAATATGAATGTGCGTGTCTGCGAGAGAGTGTATTATCCATAAAGTTTGCACGTATGCCTCCCCTCGGATAAGGACATACAGTACTGTAGTCTAGGTGAAGAAAACCTTGGAAAAAAAGAGCAGCTACCTTTAACACCTTTCATATCCATTACATGTATTCATACCCGGTGTTTGATTCATTCGGTAGAGTGGAGAAGAAGTAAAACAATGCTGCCTTTTTAGTTCTGGTTCAGATTGTGTTCACACTGAATTATTGCAAACAAACCAAGACAGGTAATCGACATGAAATACAATTCCAGACGCATTAAGTTCCTACTGAACCTTGTGTGTATATTTTATCTGATTTAATGTTCACAGGGGGCTTAAATAAATGACTTAAGAGGATTAGTTGTGACTGGAGCTGGACTTTTTGTGTCATAAATAGTGACAAACTGGTTAAAACCGGATAAAAAGGGGCTTTTTTTAGACTACAATATTACAGGGATATTTGTGTATTTGCTATATTTTACTTCTCGTTTTATTGGTAAGCAGCTTAAATAAACAGAGTAGGAAACAAACTCACCACGCTTCTGTGTATTGTATTACTTATTACAGAGATCTATTTCGTGACATATCACATTCACAAGATGCGTCATTAGTAATAAAGCTTTTGAATTCATACCAGGGTTTGATTGAGCCGGAGCCAAAACAGACCGAAACATGCAAACAGAGAAATACACCAGTCAGTTTGCATCTAATCAAACGGATGAAACCTCCAATAGTAATCCGTTTTTCGACATATTTGTTTCCTCTTGCCACACTAAATACATTTCAGTTTTTGTTATCAATGTTTCCATCCATCTCTTTTGCTCGCTAACCTTCCCTCAGATGACTGCAGTCCTTTTTCTTTGCGTTTTGACTTTCTTACCTTTTAAAGTGCATCATCTTTCTTATGAGATGGAGCACACCGTCGCAGTTGCCTGACGGACATATCAATACCCTTTACCCCGACGTGGTTATCCATCACAAGGCTCACTTGTGTGCTTTCTGTGAAGGGTCCCTGAGCTAGATTTATAGCCACCTGATCCCCCAACCCACGACTCCGCTATTAGGATCTTTTTCCTCGGAGTCTGTTCATCCGAATGATAAAAGGGACAGATTGAAGGTCTGTCCCTGCTGCAGAGACTTTAATCAACCGCGATACAGTTTGGAGGACTATTACCAGATTGTGGGTCCGGTCTGACCGGAGGACACACTGGGCAGCTGGTGCCGCTGTAAATGATTGCCGGGGCTGATTATGGCTCCTTGCGGGTTGCAGTGTGCCGGTGAAGTGCTTGGAGCAGAAACAGAGCAGCACCTGACCATTAATAACCTCCTGTTGTTTGTGTGCGTCCTGTTTATATGTGTTTTCTTGGGGCCCCAGTACGATCATTGTCAGTCTTTACGGAAGCGGTCCCCGGATGAAACGTCGTGTTCAATTGGGTCTGTCAGCGGCTGCTTTTGCCGCTCTTCCATCATTCACCGTCACACACTCATGGCCAGGCCAAATGGCCCCCACAAGAAGGGGCCATTACAGAGCTGCAGGTGTTCGATGTGTGCGTCCTTCTGTGAGGAGCCCACCTGTTTGGTCATTTGTCAAAACCTGAGGGCTGCATTACCGTTTTGGTCGTTTTTTTATTAATTGATCAATTGTTTAGTCAATTAAAAGTACAATGTCGTGTTGTTCCTGTATCAAAATGTCCTTGAAAGCATTTATCATATTATCTTTTTATCAACTTCATCCCATTTTTATGATATTTTTTTTGTTTTGCTAAGTAAGGTCGTTATTTTTCTTGTACTGCCTGTGCTGCGTTACCTCTTTTCACACTCTTTCCGAACCAGAGACTAGTCTGCTCTGATTGGTTAGCTGGCCGGCTCTGTTGTGATTGGTCAACCACTTAGAGATGTCCCGCTCCTTAGCCTATCACGTACAAAACGTTGGAGCTCTAGCCAATAGAAACACAAGTGATAAATAGTGATGTCACTATGTTTAGAAAGAAAGCAAAGCGCTACAATCAAAACGTTTCAGGCAGGGGGGGGGCGGGGGGGTTGTCTGGGAGAAAACTCCATATGGAGAGAACGTTTTGATGTTAGCGTTTGAAGACTATTTACATGCTTAAAAAATGTATACAGACTACAGGAAAGAGAACCCCCCAAAAAGCATCATGGAGCCTCTTGAGTTGTTTGCTAATTTCCAAATACTTGTCAACTATAATATACTATCCCCCTTTCCCTTATAGACCCCCCTCATCCTCATGAACTAATTCTCCTGTGTGTTTACAGTGCAGATATCAAAGTGCCCCTCTCTTCACCTCTATAGGAACATGTTTGTTAGAACAGTTTATCAACTCGACCTCAATATCTCAAATGCATGCCTTGGTGCGGTCCCATGCGTGCACGTTTCATTTGTGTCCATTTATATGCATATAAATGTGTGTGTGGTGGTGAGACCTTGTTGTGTCATCCCCTTCCCTTAGCAAGAACAGAGAACAGTGGAGGGAAAAATGGAAGTGGGGGTGAATTCAATCAGCCTTGTGTGAAAATTGCCCGTGGGCTGAGCTGAAGCAGCAGGGAGGGAGTGAGGCAGAGGAGAAGAAAGACGTGTGTTCATATGCTCATCAGCAAGAGGAGAGAGGAGATGAAAAGAGAGGAGAGGAGGATCAAGAGAGGTGAGGAAGAGCGAAGGAGTGTGTTCGTAAGCTCATCAGAAAATATCAAAGTGCAGGAGAAGGTGATACACGGAGGCAGAGAAGTGAGGACTAGAGAGAATTTGTAAAAAATAAAGGAACTAGTATTCCTATTGGGGGAGAGCGTTCATAGAAAACCAATATTTCCTTTAAAGGTAGGGTAGGTAAGTTTGAGAAACCGGCTCGAGATCGCTAGAATTTGAAAATACACAACCAGAGAAAATCTGCCACTTCCTTACAGAGCCCCTCCTCCAACACACACGAACGCGCACATGACCAATGAGGGCACGAGATAAGTTTGTGCACAGATGGAAGGCTGACAGGCAGGTAGGCCATCCAGTTATTTTAGCCGGGCCGGCTAAAATGATTGGTCGTGCTTTTTACAGTATTACGGCTTCCACAGATGATATTTCTTTATGGATTTTTTGTCAAAGCACTTAAGATATTCATTGCTATCGGGATTTTAAGAGCATTCCATGGAATATAACAAAAAGTGTATCTCGAGCCGGTTTCTCAAACTTACCTACCCTACCTTTAATACTGTGATATTCACTGATACAATATATAATGAGTGTGAAAGTCCCCGTTTGGGAGATACAGAGGAGGAAAGTTGTAAGGCAAAATGTTTAGGACGTATCTCTTAGAGAGATAAAAACATATGGACAGTTAATACAACTGTATTTCCATTCAATTGACTTTAGTTTTAACTTTCAAATACAGACATT